TCTTTTGTTATATTTTTAATTTTGTTTATTAATAATAAATATTTTTATATTGAATTTTTAATTATTTAAATGTACAGTCATTAATTATAATACAAAAAGTCAAATCTATATAAAAATCTGAGAAAGGCTAAAAGTGGCTAAAAACATCAGATTAAAATAAAAATGTGAACGAAGTCGTAAGTACAGTTAGAAATATTAATTCTAAAATATATTTATAGTTTTAATAAATTTCCATTTAGTTGACAATTTCTCATTATCTAATCCTCGCCATATAAAGGTCAAACATTATAAGTTTTGGTACGGAACCCATAGAAATGTAGTGCATTTGTCTAATAATCATTTTTCACTCCCAAATGGCATTTTTTAAACTTTTTTTTCTGGATTTACAAAACTGTTGGACCTGCTTTCCCAAAAATTTAATAGATTCTATATTTTGTCAATATAGGTAAAATAATTTTTGAATCATTCAAATCGGACACTCCGTTTTCTCAAAAACTGAAATATACTTTATGGCATTTTCTACACCGTATTGTCAAAACAGCTGGACCTGCCTTGGCCAAAAACTAATCAGCACATCTCCCCCTCTATATTAATGGAATGTTTTTTGAATCATTTTAATCGGTTGATCCGTGTTCTTGAAATCTTAGAGAAAAAACTGTATCAGCACATACATACTCACACAGACACACACACATATCATCCATTTTTCCTAAAGTATACCGAAGGAAAGTTAATTAAACTAGGTGCAAGTAGCATGTTGATTTCAAGCGAGTTGCATGAACTTTTCAAAAAGTGGGAATAAGCAACAATAAAAATCAAAAATATTAAGATCTTCATTAATTCATTAATTAAATATCTATGTTTGTATATATACATTTATAACAAATGTATCCAGTGTTAGATATTAATTTAGAAGAAATATGAACAAACAGCACTCTTTTTTTACACTAATTTATTTAATAATATTAATTTTACAAACGTTTCGATACTAGGTTTGACTCATCATCAGTGTATTATAAAATTCGATTGCAGTCGAAATTTTGTTTGTTATTAATTGATAAATTTGTGCTAAAAAGTGTTGTTTATTTATAAAATTATATATATATATATATATATATATATATATATATGTTGAAATTTTTAATAATTTTAATGTTGAGATATGTGAGATTCAGTCTTCAGGGCAATACATCAATTAAATACTTGTATGAACTTAAAACATATTTTTATTGTTTCCATACGTTTCGACACATTGTTTTGTGTCATCTTCAGTGGACTATGTAATGGTAATATTCCTAATTATTTCATAATAATAATTGTTCACAAATGCACAAATAAAAACAATTCTTGTCACTTTAAATCAGAACAATTATATACATTTTTAGTACATTTTTTTTATTGTAGAGTACATGCCTCAAAGCCTATGTCCGATGCGACATAACAGTAGAACAAAAATGATTTCTGTTCTTTATGAAAATAAAAAAATATTAATATAGCGTTTGTAACATTTATTAATCAAGTTCACGCACATACTTCTCATTTTCTAAAACCCGAACACAAGCAAATCCTGGCGATCATATGTCTACATACCAATAAAGCGGTTCTATATAATTACGGAACCCTTCTCTGACTTGCGAATGCGAAACAAAACATTCTATCAAATATTATCGGAAAGCGAGATGCACAAACTGGGGGTGCTCCTGTTTAGGGGTGCATTATTCAAATCAGGACGGCTGCCGTTTCATTCCGTACAATTGTTTTAACACGCTCTGGGCTCCAGGCTGCACGATTAATAGAGTATATACAGGCATAAATTGTAATATCTAGGATTCATACTGACGAAAATGTGGAAAATTGACTTTGTATTGACTTCCAGAAGGAGAAAGAAAACTCTCTTCGATAACTTTATGTTCGTCCATGTTTTTCGAAATTTTGATACAAAATGTTTAATTGACTCATGGGTGAATGCTAATACACCATTAGATCACTGTATTTGGTAAATGACTTAAATAGTATTGTAATCCCTCTATAGGATATGATTATTTGCAACTTAAGTGTCATATACTCATTTTGATGCCCAAAATTGCCTTTTTTGACTTTCACTATTCATTCCTCTGATACTTACTCATATACATGTACGTTTATAATTTTTTAATTATTTATAAGATATAAGAGTATTAATATGCTGATGATTTTATTGTTTTCTCACAGATATAATGACATCATTTTTAAAGTAGACGAGGTTATGAAATGATATAAAAATTTGATATTTTTGTTTGTTTTGGTTTAGTTTAGAATATTGTTGAATAATTGTGGTTAGATTCTCTATTATAAGAGAGTTGATTTTAAAATCTAGAGTTCTATAAGTGAATTTTAAATTTTATACCGGTTAGAATTTATTGAAAAATAACACTTATTATAAAGGAACAGCTAATACAGAAATATGAAGATGTCAAAAATATAAAAATATTTTGACGTTAAAAAATAAAACAAACGAAACTAAGTTATAATGCAAAAATAGCAGAACCTTTTGCGACGTGGAGCAGATGCTAATGAAATTCTCGAATTTTTATTTTGAATTACTAAAAATCATAACACCTATAATTCACTTGTTTATTGAAAATTTATGAAACTTTAAATTGAAAATGTTATCAAGTTAAATCACTGAAACCCGTTTTCTCTAATGACACTCATATATATTGTTAATATTATCTATATTTTTCAAAAAGGCCAAATTTATATACTTTACAGTGTACAATTTGCTTGTTTGTCGAAAATTATTATTTCATGCTCAGGTGCTGCGCTGCACAATTAATAGATTTCATGAGCAAGAATTATATTTGTTGTGGATGTTGTCAAAATTATAAAGTTTGTTTTAGATGAAGTATATTTTGCCTAAGTATTTATGTGAATTTAAATTACAATTATAATTATAACAAATAAAATTATAATAAATCCAAAATAATTACCTTTAATAAAGACAAATCCACCTGACATTTAACATGTCAATCTGCAATACTTTGAAACTTATGTTTAGTTAATTTTTTAATATTTTCAAATATAAACAGTTTGTTTGTTGCGAATATTTTTTTAACAATTTTATAAGCTTTACAATACTTTTACAATGTAATTATTTTGTTTAACTAACGTTTTTGCTAATGGTCTTCATAAAAATGTCATTATTTCTGTGAGAAAACAATAAAATCATCAGTATGGTAAAAGAGACACTAATTTATAATTTGAAAATTTTATTGTTACTTCAATTTATGAATATAAAATTAGCTTTGCCACCGCATATAAAATGAAATTTTTGTTCTTCATATCGTGGCGTTCGAGAAACGGGTAGATTTACCCGCCCCACACAAAGTTGATTATGTATTACACTTCATTTTTTAACTTATTAAAAGTAAATTAGAGAAAGTAGTGATATACTAAATTTATTAAAAATGAATAAATACATTGGCTCCACTCGTATCTTTCTATTTAAATTCATTAATATTACATATGCATTTCATATTTAAGATTTAAGTATAGTACGAGTTGAAATTTATTAAAAATTATATTGTATAAACATTAAAGCAGATCGATTTGTATGAGTCAAAAATGGTCGCTTAGGCTCATATGATATTCGAATACTAGGAATCTAAATAAGATATTTTGCTGAAGAAACTATACTTCTAAAATGAATTCTTTGTCCCGTGCATTGACCCAAAAATTAGGCTTAAAATTTGAAAAATTCCGTTTTGATCCTTTGAGTGTCCCAATCGCGTCCAAATGTATGACCGACCCCCACTAACTATGGAAGGCCGATTTACCCATGTCTGTGGTACACCACCTGGAACCCCCAATAAGAAGTTTTTAGAAATTTAAACCTTGTTTTTGGGTCAATGTATATGGGACATAAGAATTCATTTTAGAGGTAAGGTTTCTTCAGCAAAGTATCTTATTTTGGTTCATGAAATCCGAAAATCATGTGCCTAAGTGACCTTATAATCGACCCGCTCTAATAAATATTAAAGAGTTAAAATTTTGAAAATATTTTCTCACAAATTTTCTTCAAAATTCAAATATATTGCTTATGACAACTGTATATGAATATTATTAGCTACGCATTGATAATGAGTTTTAGATAGAACTTTACGGCACCCTTGTACTAAATCACCCTTTCATGCAAGACAACTCACCGGTATATATATATATATATATATATATATATATATATATATATATATATATATATATATACGAGATACAATAATTGTTCATAAAGTATATGTACAAGTGTGAGACCAACTCAATAATTTAATGAGAGAGCAGAATAGCAAGATATCAATTTATGCATTATATATATATATATATATATATATATATATATATATATATCCCCAAGCTCGCATATAAAGAGATTCTTCTCAATGTGGTACATAAGAGCTGGACACTACTAACACACCGAAAGCTCTAACTCACACATCCACGCAATCTATTCACTCCACGCACACATTCTCCTTCGGCCTCCCCACTACGTGAATTAATATAATTATACGCACACATTTGCGCACATTGATACGCACACATCCTCACAATTAAATGTATTGAAACTCACGCACACATCATCATTTGGAAAACTTTGTATGTGTTAGTAAGAAAATACGAACTGAATCATAATACTGTAGCACAGTCGCTATCCGGCGTTCGACCAAAGCAGACTTGTTACCAAAAATTTCAAATCGTGTGACAGCACGTTTTTGTTATTTCTTGCAAAAATATACATTTAAAGTACATAAAATTTTTAAATATTGTTTAGTTACTCATTGTTGTGCAAAATGAGAAAAAGATTAGTTGTTGTGCGTATAAACTATTTTCCTAAATAAAAAGTCCCAAGTGTGTAAACTCAGTGCGTGGTTTATGATTTTCAACGAAGACTTTTTGGTTTTGTTTTTGTTTTGTGATACAAGTTTTATTTATTAGACTGTTACAAGTTTTGATGAAAATTTGAGACTTTACAAATTTCCCTGGGCTTGGGGAAAATTCTTGGCTGATCGCAAACTGGTCACGACGGCTACTTTATTCAGAGAATTTTTGAACGCTTCAGGTAATAAAATACTCTAAAATTGTAGAAGCATGTTTAATAGAAAATTAAGTTCTTATACTTTAATAAGTCATTCTTATTAAAATGTTTGTTGAAATGTCAACAAATTTAATTTTCATATTGTTCGAAACTAATTGAGTTTTATCATTAATTAACACACATAATCATGTAATAGTAAAATTCCAAGAATTGTTGACAAATTTCAAGAAACACTTTATGCTCATTTGAGTTCAATTGACGCTTATTCAAATCATCACTATTTTCATAATTTTATGACCCACCTGGTATTTCACGTTAATAATAAAAAATGTTTATAGTATAATTAAACATAATTATATATTTATTTTGATTCGTAATTATTTTTTATATTACAAATGTTATATCACATTTGTCTGAATTTAATATTTTCTAGTTTTCCCAGCTCAAACAATTAAATTATTATTTTTATGACCTCAGTAATACAAATGATTAATTAATTATTTTTACATTTTTATGAATGCTAATTTTTATAATTGCTATATATTTTATTTGATTGAATTAAAAATTAATGGTAATTGTAAAAATAAAATTAAAATTAAATTGTAATCTCAATTTTGTTCAAATGCAGTTCAGGGCTGTATAATTATTAAATTTTTTGTACTGAAAATATTCAAATTTTTTTATTTGGCATATTTATTGTGAATAGGTCTATTGAAAAATAGATTGCAATATATTTAAAATTTGGGTCTACATTATTTTTTTTATAATCGCTAATAACATTTGTCATAGTAAAATTTACATTTTAATGAGTTAATATTTATCTAAATTTCTTCATTTTGGCATTTTTTAAATGATACGTTTATCTATAAATATGTTCATATATCTATAATTTTTTCTCAAATCATAAAATCTTAAGAGTAATCTTTTTCACAATGCATTTAAAATATCTAGTAATTGCAACATGGGTGTATTAAAATTATTACTTTAGTTTAGTTGATGTAATTCTTACCCTCAATTTTAAACTTATTAATTTAAATTATTTCTCATATTATAATATCATATGTATTTCATTGTTTTTAAATACACTCTTCAGAAATAGGTAATATCCAAACAAATCAGATCTACCCCATTTTTGACATTTTAGTGTGATTGATTTTAAATGTATAATTTTGCTTGCTTTGAAACATTTTATATATTTAAACTGATTGGACACATTTTATATATCTAATATAATTTTTTATTACAAAAACCTAAACGTGTATATAAAATGAAACAAACATAAAATTGCTTGAATTTTTTTTTTAAATTATTAACGTATTAATTTTTTACTTGTATTCGGTTCATACTTGTGATATAAGTGTTTTAAAATTTATTAAAATTAGGCTAGTATTATAAAGAGATTTTTTTTATTAAATGTAATGTATATTCAAGATGCCCAATCATGTCCATTTTTTTCTGCATGAAATTTTTGCATGTATAACTGTTTGGAGAATTGTTTTGATATCTTGTTAAATAGGGTGACAATTTAGTTAAATCAAAATCTATGATTAGCCCCACATATGTGTAACTAAAAAAAATTTTAAATAATATTAGTAATAAAATATGAAATTTTATCTTAAACCATCTTATTTACTGTTGTATACTCGTATATGTGTGTGGCAATTAGACAGAAATATTACTGTGTAATATTTGTGTATTAATTTATTTATCTTGGCATAATTTAATTGTAACTGGTACTTGATCATCGCGAAAATATTTTTAAAGCTATAAATAAGATAATAAGATTAGCTATGAATAAGAGATGATAAAATGAATACTATTCTGCTCTAAAGTATTTATATACTGATGCTTTATGATAAATCGACATAAAATTACTTAAAGATATTAACTTATTGATATTGATTTGCCTATTTGGAATAATTTTAATTTCTTATGGACTTGGCAAAAAAATATGTAAACCATAAAATTACTAAGAATTGTATTATTAATCTGTTATAAGTCTCCACAAAATAAACGAGAAGTTTTGATGTACAGCCCTTCACTATTTTACACCTTCACCTTACCATATGCATTAATATAAAATGTTCTAATAATTTCTAAATTTTGCTAATTAAATTACATATTAAATAATAATAATCATTCGATTTAATGAGAAAAGGTTAACTTAAACTGTTTGTAATCTAACCGACTTATCTTATTAGTTATTAGTTTTTCTTTAAATTCTACATTCAAATATTGATATCAAAACGTTGCTCATATTTAGTATCTACTCTGAAACACTAACCTTAATTATATTCTAATATTAAAACTAATATGAGTATTTTAGGCAGATGGCAATTTAGAACATTTTGACCCTATATTATTATGATCTTGTAATAAAATGAATTTAAGGCGTTAACGATCTTAGCCCATAAATGACGACCTTACTCTATTTCAACTTAAATTGCAGTCAAATAAGCTAAAATATCTGTGAGATTATGATGATTTTACTGACAATGTATTTCTTATTACCTTGATATTTGTTCTAATTAGTAAATTTAGTTACGCAATCCTAAATTTTTGTTTTTTTTTACTGCTATATTATATTTTTCATTTGAAGTAGATGCTTTGATTTTTCTATTTCTCGCAGCCACTAATTTATCTTTTAGTTAACTTTTCTTCAGTTAACTGCTCAGTCCAAAACGTATCATCTTAATATATTTAAATATAGTAGTACATTTTAAATTTATTATTGATTTTATATTTATTTACATTTATTTACTTATTTATTTTACAAGTCTTAGAAAAATATAAGATTCATGTCAATTTGTTATATCTTTTATATAATATAATCAATTTAATTAATTAATTTGTTAATCAATACTCATCTAATTATTCAATTTGTTTATTATATACTAATTTTATTATTCATTTTTAGTTAATTTATAAATAATTTCAAAATAAGTTCTTTTCTTTTTCATTATAATCGTTTTTACACCTATCCTGAAATGGACAGCAAGCAAAACTGTATGAAAAAAGCAGGTTAAAGTTGTTTAACAAAAATTTAGGCTCTTCAATTTGTGTTATTATTTATTTTATTACTAATAATTTTTTGATATTGATTATTTTTGAATTTTACCGCTTTTTTCCATCGCCGCCGCCACTGATGATGACTATCAGCGCATGATAAAACGTACATCTATAGATTTTTATTACCCCAATATATGCATAATTAAGAATTAGCATTGCTTTCATAGTAAAAATGTAATCATCATAAAATATGACTTTGTATTATATTAAACACATAAACTGTGGCAAATTACATTCTAGGAAATAATCAGAGAGAAATCATTCTAAGTATTTCTAACTGACTCAATTAACACTTCATAATGAAATTTATTTAAATAATTAAAAAAGACATGTAGGTATTTGAGAATAGGTACCAGTTGTTAGAGGTTTTGTGATTTACCGATTAGTCATAATTATTTGCGACGTAAAAACCACTGACTAAAACTGTATGGTCATTAATGAAATAATCATTAACATAAATTTATTACCTAGGTGTTATTTTAATATATAAAAATAAATAATACATAAAAGATCATAAAAATAAATTATGAAATAAGTTAATATAAATATTAAACAGTAATAACTTCATAGACTTTATTAGTATATTTACCGTCGCAATGATTGTACATTTTTAAAATTAAAATTAGTAATTTATAATATCTAAAATAAATAAAAATATTGCACAAGGTAAATTGATTCATAATTTTATCAAAATTATTCGTAATATCTTTAATATTTTTCATTCTTGAACGATACTTATCTTATGAAAAATCTATTTCTAAAATTTTCTATTTTATTTTGGCGATTAAGAATCAAAATTAAAATTTAATAGTCAATAAATAAAATATAAATATAAATATATGAACACCATAGCAAATTAAAAGAATTTTGTGCACTTCACTAGTAAAATACCATTGGTCAATAATTGTGTTTAATCTACTTGTTTCTTATTGGCAAAATTTTGCAAATATTTTTGTCATTCAAAATTTTATTAACAAAACAATAATTTAATTAAAACTATTAACGTCTACTTCAATTTTTTTACTTATTTTTCTCAAACGATACTTATATAATTTAAAACCAAATTTTTTTTTGTTCGTGCTATTAAAAATTGAAATTTAAAATTAATAGTTGATGGCAAAATAGCAAAATAGAAGTAATTAATTATTCTAATTACTTCATTATTAAAAATGTGAAATAGAATGCAAAAACTATTTACTAATCATTAAATAAAATAATTTAAAAAAATAACAAATTACTAGAAATTTTTGCACTTTGAAGTAAAAACTATTGAAAAAAAACGAGAAGTAGCTGTAGAATGAAGAAGTTTATTTATTAAAAATACGTTAATTTATGCGTTAATTTTTAATTGATCTAACAAAATAAAATAGTTGTTTTTATATAATAAATTAAATTTGCCAATATTATTATTTAAAATTTTATATATAATTCTAATTCCAATTCCAATATTGCCAATATGGAATTGGAATTAAAATCAAGAACCTATTTATCTGTTAAAATTATGTACTTTTTTGGAAAACTTTTTCAAAAGACTCTTTCTTACAAAGTTGATATTATTATGTGATTCTGCTATGTGAATTGACAGAAAATGATATTTGCAGTTATTTTACGTTTACAAGTAAATTCTAATTACACGCCTAAAGTAAAAATTGCTATTTACAGTTACTTTTTATTTACAAGTAAATACTAATTACATGCCCAAAGTAAAATACTTTCTGTCGAAGTAAAAACTTCTCAGATACACGAATTAAGAAAAAAACAAATTATTATATAGATATATGCACGAACTATTTAGATTTCCAAGTGAGACTTCTACTAAATCATTTTTATATTATCATAAATATTAATTTTATACGATTTTAATTTTTAAAATAAAATTTTATTGACAAAACTAAAAACAAATCGGATATACATATATTACAACAATACCTTTAGACACGTCATTCTACTCCCCA